TTGTAAGCTAAAATGAATCCTTAGAAATAGCCTTTGGATGTGTTACTATGGAAGTTAATGGTGGCGTGGACAGAAATGTTTTCATAGAAGTAGTGAGAGAAAACCCCTGATTAGAGTGGATTCAGGAACACTAGGAAGAGACAGCTGGCACAAACAGCATTTTGAACCATTTTGATGTTAAAAGAATTAGAGAAAGGAGGTGATAGTGTTCATGTGTGTGTGAGGAGATGAGCCAGACCTTATTTTTTACTGATTATTTTTAAAATAGAAGAGGGTGGGAACCCACAGGCCACACCATGGCACAGCCTATACTCCCTGCCTGGGCCACCAAGGCTTGGAACATCTTCAAGATAAATGTTCCCTCCTGCCTCACAATGACACTTAAAACCTCAATAAATTTTCATTTTTTAAAGAAAATAAATAAAATAAATGAATAAATAAAATAGAAGATATTATATCACATATTTGTAAGTTGAGTGAACCAGTAGAAAACATTAATGATTCCTGAGACAGATTGAGATAGAAAATTACAAGTTAAATTCTGAGTAGGTAGATGGAACAGATTTCAACATATAGGTGGAATTGACCATCAATAAAAGTTTATACAATGTAACCATTGAAAATAGTTGAAAATGACATTGCTGTACATACAGATGTAAATGTTTTGTATGTTTGGTAGGTGAAACAGAAAATGCTCTTCCAATTGTTTTTATGTCTTCAAGATAATAGAAATCCAAATCACTCACTGATTTTGAAGAAAGAAAAAAAATTGAGAGTTAAAGAATGAAGAAAAACCGGAAGTAATCTTCCAGGAGATTAACAAGATAGACTGATTAGCGAGAGCGCTGTCAAGTTAATTGAAAATATAACATAAGACCAGTTAAAACAATCACATCCAGCTACTCGTATGCAAGTGTAAAGTAGGTCGAGTTGGATTTAATCAGGCTGCATTTTCCAGATGTGTATAATGGATGAAGAGATAAGCAATAAAGCTGTGGCTGTATGTAAGAAAACGATCATTATAATTGACCCTGGTAAATGGTTTAAATCAAGTAAAATAGGAAATGAGGCATGAAGGATTTATAGTAATAAAATGGTGATGTCATTAAATTTGATATCTTAATGGGCATCAAAGTACTGTCAATCATAGAATCACTATAAGGAGTGGGCTGGAAACATCGGAGCAGAGGTTGGAGAGTGGAGCATCTGAAATTGAAGGAAGAGAGGAGGTACTTATATTGGTAATGAAGTTGTCTAGACTCTAGCACAGCACTGTAGAGTAGAATTTCCCGTGATGATGGAGATGTTATATATTTGTGCCATGCGAGTCCATAGCCAGTAGCCTCCTGGGCTATAGAGCACTTGAAGTATGATTAGTATGACTGAGGAAATGCATTTTTAATTTTAATTAATTTAAGTTTAAATAGTTACATGTGGCTAGAAACTACAACATTGCAGAGCATACTTTAAAATATGATTACCATAGTAGGTGGCTGATATATGCATGTGATTAAGGTTATTGCAGCTAATTCCAGCAACTGGCAGCCCAGGGTGAATTATCACCTACACAAGATGTTGAAATTGCTGATAATCATGACAGACATACAGATGAACAAAGAGATTTAAGACAGTTGAAAAATGGTAAAGAAATAAGAAAAAAAAGTCCTAGAATTTGGTATACGTCTGCAACAAGGTATGCTGTTTGACAGTGTAGTCTGATAAAATGAGCTGGAGATGCTGGAAATGCTTAAGGAAGAAAAGAATAGACAATACTTTCTAAATCAATAAAATTATAAAATACTAAATTATAAATTATTATCTTAGTAATAAGTAATATAGTCTTTTAGGAAAATAATAGTAGATAAAGGATCATTCTCAGCCAATAGTAATAAAGTGTATAGAAAGTGTGATCAATCATCTTCTTTATAGAAATAATTAGGAACCAGATGAGAATTTTCATTGTTATTTTATCCAAGCATTATTTCATAAAATAATAAGAGGTTGAATACTTTCTTAGGGAACTGAAGGTATGTGAAAAAAATAAGGAAAATGAAAATGAAAACTCAGTCTTTGCAAATTTTGGTGAAAGTGAAAGACCAGAACAGAGACTGAAAGCCTTGCCAGTGTTCATTTCTATAACTGCCTACTTGAGTTAACTTATTTCAAGGGTCTCCGCCTTTACCTGATTCACCTAGAGTAGTAAACATAAACATAGGTTAATCATTCATTTCCACATTTTTGGCTGTGGAGTTCAGTTGAGTATGACTCAAAGCCTTCAAACCTGTCTTTCCTGATTGATCATGCCATCAGATTAAAAAAAATGAACATGAACAAGAAATATATGTACATTTATGTATTCAGAGAACATGTACAAATGTCACTGAATTATTATTATTATTTCATTGTATTTCTGCAACTCATTGGGTATTTTTTCTCAACCCTAAGGTGGGTACAGCTCATTCTGGAGTTCTTTGACTAAGATAACCTTTACACAGAGGTGAAACCTAGCAGGTTTTGGATCATTCTCAGCCATTTGAAAGCAAAAACCCACACCATGTCCCTGAGTATAGTTATCTAATCTTCTTTCTATCATTCAAAAGGAAACTCTTACAATAGCCAGGATTTGGAAGCAGCCCAACTGTGCATCAGTAGATGAATGGACAAAACAACTATACTACATTTACACAAGGGAATACTACTGGGCCATAAAAAAGAAGAAAATTTTACCCTTTGCAACAGCATGGGTGGACCTGGGGAACATTATGTTAAGTGAAATAAGCCAGTCAGAGAAATACAGCTACCACATGATTTCACTCATATGTGGAATCTAATGAACAAGCTGAACTAATAAACAAAATAGAGACAGACTCATAGATGGAGAGCAGGCTGACATCTCAGTGGCAGGTCGTTGGGTGGTGGGGGGATGGAATGGAAAAGAAAAAGGACTCATGGACACAGACAACAGTGTGTTGATTGCAGGGGATGGGGAGAAGAGGGGGTAAGGGGGATAAACGGTAATGGAAAAATACTATAAAAATAAATAAAATATCCCAGGAATAACAAAAACAGAAACAAAACAAAAAATATTCCGTGGTTTCCTAATGTTCATGGCTAGCTGCCAAGTATATTTTGAGTTCTGTGTTTCCTATTTCTGTTGTACCAAATAGCACAAATCGAGCAACTTAAACAACACATATTAATTATCTCATACTCTGTAGATTACAAGTCTCATGTGGGGGCTCACTGGGGTCTCATGTGGGCTGTGGGCTGGGCTGTGTTCCTTTCTGAAGGCTAGATGGGAGAATCAGTTTTGTTAACTTTCCATCTTCCAGCTGTATTTCTTGGTTCCTGGACCCCTTCCTCCATCTTCAGCCAGCAGCGTTGTATTTCCCCAACACTTCTGTGTCATCACATCTCTCTGTGACTACATCAGAGAAAGGTACCCCACCTGTATGGGCTCATGTGATTTAATTGGTCCACTCAGATAAGGCAGGTCTGTAATCTTAATCATATCTACAGTGTACCTTCTGCCATATAAAATACCATATTCAGAGATTCTGAGAATTAGGACATCTTTGGGGAGCTACTATTCTGCATACCACGAATTAACAGCAGTTGACTTTCTTATATAAATGAGTAAACTTTATGGAAAGTTACAGTGAGATTATACAGTCCTTTAAGAGCTCTGACTCTGATGCCTTTTGTGACTAAATGAGCAACCACATGCATGTGCTGTTTTTCTTGTGTTCTTCCAAACAGTAACCAGAACTCTTTCTATACAACCTGTCAACTCGCTATTGCTCATGTGATGGTGAAACTTAGAATATCAAAGCGGCAATCCTTGTGCAGTGAGCTCACTTTAGTTTTATTGGAAACATCTTTTCAGGGCCTTATTAGGCCTAAGACAGAGAAGTAGTTGTTTCTTTTTTATGAAGTTATTTATTAATAAAATATAAATAAATTTCAGCTTAAAGAGACATCAAGGCACAAAGACACACTAGAGATTCTCTTGTGTCCAGTGTTCTGAATGAATATCTAGCACTATTCATGTCTGTGGTTGCCCCAAATTCTATCTCTTGATTTTTCAGACCTGAAAGACTACCTGTTCTCTATGGGAGTTTTAGTTACCTTACAACAGTGCCTGTGGGCTGCCCTCAGGCCAACACCAACCAAACAAACAAATTAAAGACAAAAATAAAAGCACCATGTGCCACTCTCATTCTCTCCAGAATCTGCCTGCTGTTTTTCACTCTCTTGGAAGTTCAGATAGTTATTATTTCACATCTCATTCTGAATATTAGTTCTTATTTGCAGGAAGATTATTCTATTAGGAGCTTAGCCATGCCAGACGGGAACTCCTTTCATACACAGTTTTAATAGCTTTCAACGTCTTCTCCATGCCCTATTGCCAACACTGCACATACCTCTCTCTCCCTTCTCTCTCTTCCTTTCTCTCCACAACCTCTCACCACACACAGTTGGATATCTTAAAATGCCAGCCACATGTGGGTAGTTTTTAACTATACAGCTCTCAGTACATGTGACTACACACTCCTTCCTGTCTTAGGATATGTGTCTGCTTTATACCTAATATAGGTGAGTATAAACCACATCTAATGTGTCCATACAGAATAGCTGACTTTTAACACGTGTAAAGAGGACAACCTGACCCTCTATAGAAACATTGACAATCGTGGGATTTCCTGCAGGAAATCACCATTCCTGCACTGACTCCAAGTACCACCTCTTTGTTTCATAGCAACAAACAATGAAAAAGAGCAGATAGTTTGAAATCTGTAATGCACTAGTTCTGAGGAGAATATTTGGCTTTCTCTGCAGAATAACTGATGGTCATTGTCCTTATGAAGGTTGTAGTGGGATGTGTCTTGGGTCAGTTCAGCGTCTATGTAAAAGCTCCCAGCCTTGGAAAAAACATCTTGTTCCAGGCCTGAAGATATTGAAACATTAATTAACAATTGATAGTAGTGCTTTCTTCTACAATGTCTGAAGAAGTGACCTATGCGACACTCACATTTCAGGATTCCTTGGGAGCAGGAAATAGAAATAATCTAAGAAAAAGAGGTAAGGATTCAGAGAAAGCAAGATTTGACCTCAGGTGATGGATAGATTTTTAATGCTTTGAGGTTCTGGTTTTTATATCGATGCTAAAGAGACGGGTGCTGTGGAAGCCTTGAAATGGAGACAAAGTTGTGGAATATGTTAATAGAACGAGTGTTCCCAACATTGAGGAAAAATGTGTGATATCACTGTTTCATGAAGTCCTGTATTAGTGAAAAATGTTTATTAGACATGCTGAAAATTGAGTTTGGGGGTTAAGAGATTTCTTTTCATAAATGTAGTCCTTTATGCTTATACCTCATGAAAGATGCCGGAACAGTTTTCTTTGGAAAGCAGATTGGAGGCCTGTAAAATAGGGAAGGTAGGAGGAATTTTTCTTTTCAAGGGTACAAATAACTGAAGAGGAAAACTAGAGGGTTAGCAAGTCAGAAATAAAAAAGATAGCTTCTGTTTTATAGCATTTAAAAAAATTAGGGAGTTGAAATTCCCAGTATAATTAGTAGTGTTTAATCAACAATAATGTCATTTTTAGTATTTTATATGTAGTGTATTACTTCTTTATTAAGATGTAGTTGCAAAGCAAATGAAATACTATTAGTACTTTTTAACATGTATTAATGAGAAAACTGAGGGTGAAAAAATTTGAATGATTTAAACAAGTTTATACAACTGTTATATGATGGAGTTCAGACTCAGTTCCAGCCTTTCACTCATTGCCTTATACCTAATTGGAAGAAATAGTGGTCTTTGTGGTCAGGAATATGATTTAATATATCAGGCTACATCCCTCACCTTCAAGAATCTATTGACTATTCAAGTTGTTGTCCTTAATCATCTAAAACAGATGAACAACGTTCTTAAGAACCCTTTAGATTTATTTTTAGTGTGTGTGTGTGTGTGTTTTGAGAGGGGGTGCTACATAAAAAAGGGTGGGGATAGACTTTGCATGTGTCTAACAAAGATGACTATACATTATTTTTTAGAAAAATTTAACTTTAACCTTTAAGAAAGAGGGAGTAGTGAATGTGATGTATATAGTAGTGCACCTAGAGATTACACCCATCATTCTGAAATATTAGGTTAGATGCCATTAGATCCTGAATAAAGAAGAGGAAAGTGAGGCAAGTGAGAGAACCATTTGTGGTACATACAGAGTTGGGCAAAATAGGTTTACGGTTGTGAGTATATGAAACACAGAGTTTATACTTGTATTATTATTTACTAATTATTCTGTTATTTTTCATACAATTGTAAACTTACTATTTCCCTAACCTGTATATATAATATTAAGTTTTGAAGAGTAACCACTGGTTTTCTGGGTTTTTTTTCCCCTGTGGTTTGTAGGTGAGATTGCACATTGATTTCTTCTTTCATTCAGTATTGATTCATAATCTACTAGGTGATAAATAAAATGCATAATGGGTAAAAATTGTGGAGGTTTGTAATTTCAAAAACTTGGGATCTCTTCTATTGTTAGGGACATCAGGGGAACCACTTTCCATTATGGCTTGTTCGTGAATTCAGGAAACTTGGAGAAGGAAGGTGTGTGATCATGTAAAACAAAAACCTAAAACTTAGAAGACATTTACTTTAAAGGAAAGGAGAATGGTAAAAGAAAAGAGGAAGGAAGGAAGGGAGGAAGGAAGGAAGGAAGGAAGGAAGGAAGGAAGGAAGGAAGGAAGGAAGGAAGGAAGGAAGGAAGGAAGGAAGGAAGGAAGGGAAAGAAATGGAGGAGAGCTGATGACGGGGCCCTTATAAGCACATTGGTTTAGGTATTTTCTAGATAAGGGCATTAAAGAACATTAGGAAGCTTCCTAATTGTGAAAAATGAACAATCACATGTTAACCACAGGCAGCTCTGTTGGCTCATTCCTCTGTCGACATTCTTCAGGGTATCCAGCTTCATCCCCCACATGGCGGTGGGCAGCCCTGAGTCTGCTAACTCTTTGTCTGTTGCTGCTGTTGGGGCTGGTGACCTTGGGGATTATGTGTAAGTATACTTGTATCAAACCCAAGAAAACTGCTTAGGAAACATATTTGTACATTATGAAATTCCAGGTTGGATTTTGTGATAGGTGCTACATTCTGAATGCTCTAATACTTTCTGCTACTTCCTATCTCTCATTCCCCATGTCTCCAAGGCAAACCAACAAGGAAAATATTATTATGAGGATTGTATCCCAAATCACTCTCTTGCTAACCTAGACTAGGCTATGAAGACAATTTTTATTTTTCAGTTATTGGTTAGAATAAGGAGTCTCTTTTTTTGCACAGAAACACATCCACTTACTATCCCAATAGTGAGAAACAGAAAGCCAAGGAGAGTGGATTCAAGAAACAGCATGCCCTGGCTGGTGTGGCTCAGTGGATTGAGCACCAAACTGTGAATCAAAGGGTTGCTGGTTTGATTCCTAGTCAGGGCACATACCTGGGTTGTGTGCCAGGTGCCCACTAGGGAGCACACGAGAAGCAAACACACATTGATATTTCTCTGTCTCTCTCTATGCCTTCCCTTCTCTAAAAATAAATAAATAAAGTCTTTTAAAAAAAAAGAAAGAGCATGGCATTTTATTTACCCTTAAGACTTTGTACAAGACTGGCTTAATCTGCTCACCTAAGACTTTCCTAGAATAGAGACTACTTCTAAACTGCAGCAGCAGCCTGCCTGCTATAAATGAAACAGAGGTACAGACAAGAAGGAAGAATTGCCTGATATACCTTATCCAGTAGACAGAAATCTTTACCACCTCCAGCAATGGAAGCTCCACTTCTAAGCACAATAGTGAAAAAAAGAATATTTTCTTTATTCTGACCCATCACTGGGCAGTCAGAGCTGGACAGAATAGGGAATCCTGAACTACCAATTACAAAACATCCTGAGGATACACAGTCTGTAGGATGTTGTTAAGTATGTGATGTACAGAAGAGTGATTTAGCACAGTGTTCAATTCCAGAGCATTCATAGTCAAATTTGCAGTCATTATTTGTTGAATGATACCAACAGCTCCTCTGCTACTTTCACTTCTTTTTATGTATGTAAAATTTCATGGATAATTAGGATTTAGACATACCTGTTTGGACATATAAATCAAAGCTAATGTTGTAACTTGCTCTTTTAAAAAGAAATATAATGTTCTAACAGCCCTAACAAATATTCAGTAGCTAATCATAGAGATTAACAGGTGATCTGCAGTGATATATGTTTTAAAAAATGAAGATACCATGTGTTTTCATTGGTTGTCCATAGAAGAATGAATGTTTTCCCCCTAGTGCCGTGCTTTGAGTGCAATGGTTCTTAAACTTCTTTTATTGGTCAATTATCTAAAGTGCTTATTATAATGCAGATTTTATGGACCTAAGACCAGAAATGATTAGGTGTGGCATTAAAATCTGCTAGTTTTTTTTTAACAAATATCCTAGGTGATTCTGATACAAGTGGTCTGCAGACCATACTTTGAGATACCCATTGCCCCCAAAGGATCCTGCTCCTATTAAAACAATTACACAAACCAACTCCAAATGAATGGCAAAATGACTGGCACTTCCTTAGGTGAAATGTCAGAAATATATGTTGTAATTCATTATTTTACTACAAGAATGATAATAATTAAAATAACCATGAAATTATAAGGATGAACTCTAAACAATTTTAAATAGAAATGCATCTGGTGCATTTCTTCTATGATATCTCTATTATTAAGACCTACTAATAAATCTTAAAGAATGTCAAGAAATATTTCTGTGTTAAGAGAATTATCTAGGGCTATCATGAGAATAGAAGGATGTATAAACTTGTCTCCTGTTATGTCTTGGAGTTTTGCAGACTTCTAATGAAATTAACTCAGATTCAGAGAAATTGAGTCAACTTCAGGAAACTATCCACCAACGGCAGGATAATTTATCCCAGCAGCTGGGCAACTACAGAAACTTTTCCATGGAGGAGGAATTTCTCAAATCACAGATCTCCAGCCTATTGGAGAAGCAGGGACAAATGGCCATCAAACTCTGTCAAGAGCTGGTCATTCGCACTTCAGGTAATCAGGACTTGCTGACCAGCCAGATCAAGTCTGTTGTCCCGGTTTAGGTTAACTGTGTGCACTGCCTCTGGGAGCCTGAGGGAGTCACACTATCCAATGGCCCCTAATGATGTCATGTTAATTTTACAGAAGGCGAGGGAAGATATAAGTTTATATTTTATGTTTTTGAAAACACAGAGGCAAGTTTGGGGAAGCGTTGTGGAATGACAGCAATCTGGATACTTCAACCCCTTGCTTTATAAATTATTTTTAGGGAAGCCTGTTGTTATAACAAGTTAAAGATATAACTGATGATTCTAAGGCCAGAAGACTGAGCCCTGTAAAGAGAATTTCAATCACATAATTGGAGTGACCTCGTTTTCAGAGGCTCCCAAAGCAGCATGTTTTCAGGGTCCTGGGTCTCAAACCCTATTATCAAATTAAATAATTTAGTTTCCAAAACCTTCCCCAATCACTCCAAGGTTGTTTAGTTTGTATTTTTTGGTATAATTTCTTTTTCAGACCACAAATGTAATCCTTGTCCTAAGATGTGGCAGTGGCACCAAAACAGTTGCTATTATTTTGCAACAAATGAAGAGAAAACCTGGGCTAACAGTAGAAAACACTGCATGGACAAGAACTCCACCTTGGTGAAGATAGACAGCTCAGAAGAAAAGGTCCGAATAGCATTTCCTAATTACAGAAATTATCCATATGATGGAAAATAAATAAATGGAATTTCTGACTCACACAGTAGGAATTCAGTGCATTTTGAATGAGAATTAACTAGTGAATTTAATGTATGTTCCCATTTATCTTACTTCTGCAAATGAAAATGTGGCTTTCACAAAATATTTTTTTTCTTTTCTCTCCCTCAGGATTTTCTGAAAATGCAACCCTTACCTAAGTTTCCTTTCTTCTGGTTGGGATTATCGTGGGATCCATCTGGCAGAAGTTGGCTTTGGGAGGATGGCTCTGACCCCTCTCCATCCTTGTGAGTCTCTGTTTGGAAAAAATCCAAGCTAAAAACACAAAGAAATGGAATAGTGAACAGATAAGTGATCTGATTTGTATTTCATAATGATAGGGACGTGGAACATCTTTTCCTTTGCTTGTTGTCTCTTTGTGTATGTCATCCTTGGAGAAATGTCTATTCAAACCCTTTGTCCATTTTTTAAAATTTTGGTAATGAGAATGCTATAGTGTATACAGTTACCAAATTATAAATATATCTGCAATTTGTTATTAATTAATATTATCCCAGTAAGAAAGTTAATTGTAAAAGTTATGAATCAAGATACAAAATAATACAGCCTACAAAGAAAATAGAGCTTCAGAATCAATACTGAAAGGAGGAGTACCAACTTTCATGTGTGTGACAAACTCATGGCAAGACATTGAACTTCATCTATTAGTTTAAATTATTATTTAACAAACACAAATAACACTATGTTCAAAATGCTTTATAAATGTTAGCCCTATGATTAAAGCATATAATACTCCAATTTTATAGATGAAAAATTGTCATAGAGAGCTTAAATAACTTGCCCATGGTCACTCAGGTCATAAGTGGCAAAATCAGGACTAAGTCTGTGATCATGAGCTCAGCTTCTCAGCTTCTCTGGCTCCCCAGTGCTTACAGCCCAGAAGGGTAATGTTTATTATAAGAACACACATTCAACATTGAACAATTGTCAGCTATTTTCTAACAAAAAGAAAATCTACATTGGTTGATTAGTTAAAATTTTGGTAATGAGAATGCTATAGTGTATACAGTTACCAAATTATAAATATATCTGAAATTTGTATTAATTGGTTGTTCAATTACAGGAACACCTGTAATTGACAATTAATTTTTTTAAATGATGGGGACTTGGCAACTAAATTATATGACAACTGTTTCTCACATATTAACATGAGGCTCTTCATGGTTTTGATGAAAATATTTAAAGTACTTATAGAATGTATAATATTTTTAAAATTGTATTTTTGATAACTAGAGATATGAAAAAAGTAGGTGTCAACATAAAAATATGTCAAGGAGCACATAGTTTTGCAACATTCTTTTAATGATTGACTACAAAACCAAATTTTTTGTGGGACAAATATAAAGAACAAACTGACAATGACCAGAGGAGAGGGGGGAGAGAGATAAAGGGGGAAAGAAGAGGAAGGGTCAAGTCAAGGAACATGTATAAAGGACCCACGGACAAGGACAACAAGGGGAAAGGACTGAATGTGAGAGGGCGGATGGGAAGGGCAGGGGAGAGTAATGGGGGGAATGGGAACACCTGTAATTGAACGATCAAAAAAAAGGAACACTAAAAATAAAAAATAAAACATAAATTCTACCTGGGATTATAATTAACTTGAAAAAAAGAACTTACATATACCACCTTTAGAGATTTTGTTGTGTTGTGAAGCAGAAGTCTCTCAACATTCAGATATATGATATTTGGTAACTGTGAACACTGAATTGTGATCAAATTTTAATATTTGATATATAAATTAATTTTTTACATTTATAATTAATTTTGAATTGATTAATTTTCAGATTTAGTACTAAGGAATATGCCCAAATCAATGGATCCAAAGGATGTGCCTATTTTCAAAATGGAAATATTTATACTTCCCGCTGCAGTGCTGAAATTTCTTGGATTTGTGAGAAGACAGCAGCATTAGTGAAGATTGAAGATTTGGATTAATAAAGCTTTGTACAAATTCAGCAAAAAGTAAGACACTTGTGATTAAGTTCATGTGAGGAGGGAGACAGCATCCTACCAGAACCAAAACAGATTAAGAAGCGACTGTGTGTTGAAACTATCAGTCAAATAAACTTGCTTCACAGAACATTCTCCACCTCATTGCCTGGTGCTTTCTGATCTGATGTTCTGGGTATTGCAGAAGACCTAAAGGAACAACTGTTCTAGGTCCCTATCGTTCTGTCTCTGAATCACTTTATTGACCTATCTCTCAGATAAAACTCTTTTCTTGCTTTGTTGTTACATATGCACAAGTGCCCTGGGGTGTTATGTAAATATTTCATCAGCCAGAACTGACATAGGCCACAGCCCTGGAATGAGGGCCAGGAGACCTTGCTGTAGGAGCTGCTGGACCATGTAGAGGTTGGGGGGTCCTGTTAGGGGTCCTAGTTGTTGGGCACCAGCACTACACCAAACGATTTGGAAATATCTCAGTCGATGATTTGCCTGTACCTCTGTATACCAGGTAGGCATCAGCCTGAACATACAAGATACCTTGTCCTCTTCCATCTCCCTATGGAAATACATTTCAGTTAATCATTAAAATTTAAATAATTTGTAATCTAGGTGAAGTGGCACATCATTTAACATTTATATTCTCTTTTATTTAAATTAACAATGTTGAGGTTATTCATGTGGTAATCTGGGTATTATTATTTGAAGTTTAGTCTCTTATAATTGACACTTTATTTCATTTAGAAAAGTTTTAATAAATTAAAGAGATTAAGATATTAGAGTAATTATTTTTAACTTTTCGGAATTTTCCTTTGACATTGTTTGCCAGTGTCCTTGCACACTAGATGATAAACATTGTAAATTTAGAGGTCAGGTGTTTTTCTGGGGCAAAATGACTGATTTGAGGATATCAACTAAAAAATATTATTCTTATGTTCTCATATAGTTGTATTGCTATGCACAAGCTAAAGAGAATGGGAAACTAATCTGTGATGCTGATTTTGCTAGAACAAAGATCTAAAATTTACTAGAACAACTGATATGATCTGAATTCAAAGCTAGTTGCATTTTAGAATACTGTGACAGTTTTTTGGAAGAATATCTCCATACATACCACCTAGTAGCCTGCTATTCTCTAAATATTTGAAATTATGAGCTTATCAACACTTTATTTCTGAACCAACAGAAAGTCTAGAACAAAGGAATTAAAATCTAATGTGAAAATTTATCAAGAATTTTAAATAAAATGTATTTAAGCACAACTTAAATACAATTATTTCATCGTTGTTCACATAAACAAGCTTTATCAATTTCCATACAGGACTGATATTTATAAAACAACTTTGCTTCATTTCTCTTTAGTAGCTTACTGCCATTGTCATTCTCACAAAGATAAAGTTATTTACTAAAGGTCAAGAACTCTGCCCTTGACTCCCACACATCTGAGTTTTTCTTCATTCCTGTAGTAAAGATAATTCCTTCTTTTAGTCTTCTATTTGTAACCATAGAAATATCTGATCTTAATAGTTAAAATATCTGCTTTGGTTATTTTGTTCCTATAAAGAAGTTACAAGTTTTTTTTTCTCCTGGTATGTGGTATCTTTTAATTCATACCTCACGTACGCTCTGACTTTCACACTCAGTGGAAAAAAAAAACAAAACAACACTTCTGTCTCTGACCTTCGAGTGGCCCTGGAATTTGAAGAGATCTCATTGCTCATAGACGTTTCCACTGCCCTGCCACCATCATGGCGTCCCTGGCGTAGATGAGTAGATGAGTAAATCCAAAGCTTGGGACACCTCATGTCACGGTAATTAATCTCTTATTGCTTACTGATAATGGCTTATGAAACATGGTGTGTCTCAGGAATTTCAATCTCTTTCTTTCTCTCTCTCTTTCTCTTGCTTTCCTCCTAGTCAAAATTCCTGAGAGATATTCACTAACATACACACACATAGTTAAATTTCTTGGCGAAAGGCTGTGTTGTTTTTATTTTGAATGCCTTTTCTTCCCTCATTGAGTAGTTATGTGGTTTCCAAACCAGCCTTCACATTAGATTGACATCAATAGTGTCTTAAAGGTTCATGTCTAAGATCTAGAGACTCAGAATGGCTGGAGTGGGGGGGGGCAGGACTAAGACACTTGTGAATTTAACAGTCTTCATAGGTGATTCTTAACTCAGCTAATGTAATGTTTGGGTAAATGACCTCAACTTCCTGAGCATGCAGAAGCAAATGCTGGAACCATCCTTAAATTGGATGGCTCTTTCTTTCCTCTCCCTTTTTTTTTTTATATTTTGTTTTTTCCAAGTTTATTGAGGTAATTGACATATAACATATTGCATAAGTCTGAGGTGTACAGCATAGTAACTTGATATATGTATAGACTGTGACATGATTTCCACAGTAAGTTCAGTTACCACTTCTATTACACCACTGGAAAGGCTCTTTTTTGCAATGATAGCAAAATTAGTTTGGCCTGTAGAGGTCAGAGCAGATCAAAACTGGGAGAGAAGTAACTGCAAATATCAGATATTTTATTGACGTAGCTTTGATCAACAACTCCTTAAAGAAGGGATATTATTGCATGGTCAGAATAGATGGGCAGTATGTAATTGGTCTATCTGATCTTTGTAGAAGTAAAGCAATTCTCAATTTAGCTGCACACTGAAATTATACTGAGGAACTTTGAAAACACATGATGCCTGAGATTATCCCATCTCTTACAATTCTCATTTGTTTCCTCAGTGGTGTGGTTAGATTACTGAAAAAAAATTGAATTTCCTATGTGATTCTAATGTGTAGCTAAGGTTGAAAAACCTCTTCAGAGAGATCATTCTAGTGACCCTTATGTTGGTGTGGGGGTAACATACTGGTAAAATAGCTGATCCTCACTTATGTACAAGGGACTGTCCCCCCCAAAACCATAATTATGTTCTGGAGGGTGGGCCCCCTTGTAGTACTGGCTTTCACCACTATGTGAGTATTCTAGGAACCCATCTATATCAGTGTACCAGCTGGCACCATTGTGAGAGGCTGCATTTGGCTTCTATGAATTTTTTGGAAGACTCTTTCAATGCATTTTTCTATTTCATGATGGGTGATTTATGAGTGTATCTGCCCACACTGCAGTGAGTGTTCAGCAGTTTTTGACCAAAAACAGCATGACTCCTGTGTCACATCCTCCCTATTCACCCCATCTCACTCTGAGTAACTTTTTTTTGTTTCTCTGGATGAAAAAGTCCTCAAAGGGAAAACTTTTACTGATGTGAAAGAGGTGAAACAAAAAAACAACAGAAGCACTTAAAGGTATCAATATTTATGAGTTCAAAAACTGTTCTGAGCAGTGGAAAAAAAGTCTCAATAGGTGTATTACATCAAATGGACAGTACTTTGAAGGGGACTGAAGTTTAAACATGTAAGAATAAATACACAATTTTTTATAAATAAATTCCAGGGTTTTGGGGTACCAAGTTTTGGGGGTATTAAGAACTTAGGTGAGCTAGTCCCATTGGCAGGTCCCATTCTATGGTGTTGGGACAGTGAGCACAATGACTGTTATCTCAAGCTAAGGTTGATGATATATTCAAAGCAGGATGAGGACTGATTTACAGGTAATCATGCATGTGTATGTTTGACCAGGTATGGAGAAAGATGTGATGAACGCATGGTTTACATTGTTTTCCTCAAGGTAGGTATGATGGTAGCAAAATGAGACAGGAAGAAGAAATGATTGACTTTGTAAGTTGAGAATTTATTGTGAAGCTGAAGACTGAAAGTAAGACACAGATTCTGCACAGGTGGCCAAAATTAGCAAGGTGGTCTTACTAATTTTGAAGCAACTGTAACTCTTTATTCTTCAGATATGTTAGTCTTTCTGAACAAGCAACTTCAAGTAATAGCATGGGTTTTTCACTCTCCTTCAACATATATAATAATATAAATATGATAAAGTGCATCTTCCCTGAGTTTTCTCAAACTATGTATTAGCTTCCAAGATTTAAATGTGCCCTAGCCTTTTATTGGGGGATCATATCACTTGGTGCTTAAGACAACATATTTTCAAAGTCAGACAGTTGCAGGTTTATGTTCTTACTCTGCATTTAAGAGCTATATAAGCTTAGATAAGATTCATAAACTCTCAACAGCACAGGGTCACAGAAGTAGTACCTGTTCCCCATGGATTTTGTGAAGAAAAACCATGCCACATGAAACGTGTGGTACAGGGAGCAGCCTATGCAGTTTAGCCATTATTACTGTTACACTCCCAGCTTCCCCTTGAAGAACGGATTCTTGTGACCCTTCCAGGCCTGTGCACACTGCTGCATGGTGTTCCGTGATTTTCACCACCAGAGCCTGTTTTTGCATGCAGGTGCTGAATATTTACTTCTGTACCTCCAGGGTTTTTAAGAAATTCATCTTGGTGTAACAGAAAGGCAACCTTTTGTCTTACAAATGTAGTAAAAGCTAGTGCATGCAACTAAACATCAGTTCATCAGAGTACAAAGGGCGGGGGCAAAAGGGCAAATTGTAGGTGGGAGACAGCCCTAAGTAATGCCCTGAGATCGGTGCTGTTTCCCGTGGACTATTTTTGTGCTTTCTGTGCTGCCTGTCATGTTTCCAGTCAGAAATGAAGTAGGCAAAGGGAGGGTCCAGGCCCTTTGATTTTTTAAATTACTTAACACTGACATTGTTAGGAAACACTCATTTTTATTGTACCAAATGAAATTGTTAGGTAACACCCATTTTATTGTACCATCATTTTCAGTTCTCCAACTTTCTTTGATTATAGGCAGAATTTGTTCATGTAAACAGTTACTTTCTATGGGTGATCTTGAGGTTGCAAATTCCTTCCAACTCAGGTTTTATTTCACAAATTACCTTGGATACGGTAGTCACATGACCTTGAGCAGGCCAGTCAGCATATTTCATCTCACTGGCTACAATGACTGGCTCAGGGCAGGGCATGTGACCAATCAGCTCCCATG